ATTCTGGGATGTAGGAAGATATAGAAGTTGAGCATCTTACAGAATCAAAGCCTTAATTTGTATATATGAAAATATTGCTCCAGAATTGATTTGTATTGCCCTGATTCAGCTCAGGATTCTGTAAGGCCAAATTAGACAGAATAGGGGTTGTCATATTATTCCCATACATTTGTCATACATTATACAACCTGTTTAGTGAGAATTGCACATCTCTTTATTAAGAGCCAGATTGTGATGCTTTTGCTTCTTCTAAATATTCCTCCACCGGGAGCACTACTGAGGCAGAGTGGCCTTGTTCTAGAGAATAGAGTACTATACTAAGATTCAGGAAATGGGGGTTCTATTTTGTCATTGGCCTACTGGGCAAGTACACCCCTTATTCCTTAATTTCCCCATCTGTAAAATAGGGGTAAGAATGCTGACTTTTGTAAAGGAATTTACAAAGATCTATTGCTGAAAAGAGCTAAGTGCAGATATTATTACTGGTGGTCTAAGGTACAATCCAAGATAACTAAGGGTATTACAATCTGCCCCTAAGATGCTCACAGGGAAGCCAACAGCCTCGCTGGGCTCCTGCATAAGATATGTGAGGCAGCTGCTCTGTGCTGTTGGAAGGGTCAGGGTCCAGGGCTACCAGTTCTCAGTGCTGCCTGGACTGGGGTGCAACCCACCGCCCAGCCCTCAAAACCACCCAGAGTGCCCGGTGCAGTGTTCCAACAGTAATTTAAGAGGCCCGGGTTCCAGCAGCTGAATTGCTGCATCCCAAAACAGTTAACCCTCTCATATTCCCCGTTGGTGGGCCTGGTTGCTCATGATGGGCCCAAGGTGTAAGGATCTCACCCACCTCACTTGTCTGAATATTTCAAGTAATTTTCAGGACATGTCCCTGTCTTTTACCTGCTTTTTCCTGTCAGTAGAATGTGGTCAGAAGAAAATTTATCAGGAATAAAAACAACAGAAATATGAGACTGACAGTACAAGGGCAAAGAACCACCTGATCAGGAAGATGAGACAGACAAGACAGTCTTTGGACAACGAACAAAAGTTTCCAGGACACAGGCCCTGATTCTCAAGAGGGACTACGATTGCTTTGACATCTCCTGGGAGAGCAAGATGGCAGTGCATAGACAATCCAGGAAGTTTTTGGAGTGTTGAGGACAACTTCCTAGAGCAAGTGTTGGAGGAACCAACAGAGCTTCATTCTCCTCTTGACCTGCTGCTCACAAAGAGGGAAGAACTGGTAGGGGAAATAAGAGCAAGGGCAAGCTGAGCAGCAGTGACCATGAGATGGTTGAGTTTAGGACCCTGAGAAAGGGAAGAAAGAAGAGCAGCAGAACATGGACCCTGGGCTTCGGAAAAGTGGACTTTGACTCTTTCAGGGATCGGATGGGCAAGATCCCCTGGGAGGCTAATATGAGGGAAAGGGAGTCCAGGAGAGCTGGCTGCATTTTTAAAAAGTGCAGGAACAAACCTGGAAAGATAATGGAGCAAGTAACCGAGGAATCAATCTGCAAACATATAAAAGATAAGGTGATACGTAACAGTCAGCACAGATTTGTCAAGAACAAATCCTGTCAGACCAACCTGATAGCTTTCTTTGACAGCACCCTGAGCAGCATATTGCAAGAGAAGTTGAGCAGTGATTAAAAGAACAGGTTATGGTCTATTTAGAAAAGTTGGACATTCATAAGTCCCTGGGGATGGATCTAATGCATCCAAGGGTGCTAAGGGAGTTGGCTGACATGATTGCAGAGCCATTTGCCATTATCTTTGAAAACTTGTGGTAATTAGAGGAGGTCCCAGATGACTGGAAAAAGGTGATCATTTTTTAAAAAAGGGAAGAAGGAGAATGTGTAACTACAGACTGGTCAGCCTCACATTTCAGGCCCTAGAAAAATCATGGAGCGGATCCTCGAGGAATCCATTTTGAAACTCTTGGAGGAGAAGAAGGTGATCAAGAACAGTCAACATGGATTTACCAAGGGCAAGTCATGCTTGACCAACCTAATTGCTTTCTATGATGAGTTCTATGATATGGGGAAGAGATGGATACCTTGACTTTAGCAAAGCTTTTGATACAATCTTCCACAGTATTCTTGCCAGCAAGTGAAAATAATATGGTTTGAATGAATGTGCTATAAGATGGATAGTTCGGACTTGATGGGTAGCAATCAATGGCTTGATGGCTAGTTGGCAGCCAATATCAAGTGATGTGCTCCAGGGACCAGTCCTGGTGCCAGTTTTGTTCAACATCTTCATTAATTATGATGGGATGGATTGCACCCTTGGCAAGTTTGTAGATGACAGTAAGCTAGGGGAGAGATAGGGTCCAGAGTGCCTACATAAATTGGAGGTTTGTCTAAAAGAAATCCAATGAGGTTCAACAAAGACAAGTGCAGATCCCGCAGTTAGGATGAAAGACTTCCATGCATTGCTACAGACTGAGGACTGATTGGCTAAGAGGCAGTTCTGCAGAAAAGGACCTGGGGAATTACAGTGGATGAGAACCTGGATATGAGTCAGTGTGCACTTAATGCCAAGAACGCGTCCCTGCTGTGCACTATATAATATGGCACTAATGTCCACCTTTTGCTGTATGTTGGACCTACTTATCCCTCTGTGACATAAGTGCACACAATTATTTTACTGTTGTCAGTATTGACCAACTCCAGTGTTTGAACATTAGAAATCAGGCCACTGCACATGGAGATATTTTTAAGTGATTTTTTTAAGTCCGCATTATTTTTATTTGCCTTTTTGTTTCAGATCAATTTTCAAACTTTTCTCCACCACTGGCATGCTAGAGTCTTTGAAAAAAATTAAAACGAAAAGAATGAACACACAACTCCAGGGGCTGGGGCTTTTAAAAGCTGAAACTCCAAATATTACAAGAATTGGTATCACATAATTAAACAATGAATTGAAAGTCTGGCCACATTGAAGTCAATAGCAAAATCTCAGTACATGAAACCAAGATTTCCTTCCTGCTGTCTACAGTCTGGTGGAAGGAACAGTGCTGTTGTCTGTCCCCTCTTTGAAAGCTCCCTCTTCACCTTTGTTTGTAAGTAGGAGAGGTTGCAAATGTAAAGGACACACAGCTTTTTTTTTTTTTAAAATGAAAGTCTAACCCTTGGAAGAACCTGGCGATTGGTACCAGTCAGCAGATTGCTGGGGCTGAACAGGGCCTGCACCTGGGCTCAGTTTGCTGCAGAAGCCAACAAACCTTACAATCTCACACTTTTTGTATCAAATGAGTTTGAGTTGTATCCCCGCAAACCATTTTGCTAATCCCAAAGTAACAGGAAATAGCAGCTGTTCTGTGGGGAGGCTGCCCCAGGTTAGCACATCCCCCCTTATTCTTAGCAACTTGTCCCATACCTTTTAAAGGAGTTAGTAAGAGCTGGGAATGGAAACCAGGCCTCCTGAATCCCAGCCATGCACTATCCACTGGCCCACACTGCCTCCAGTGCACTCGAGAGGAGTCCCTCCCATTTGGCTGCCTAGAACTCGAACGGGGTGCAGCCCAAAGATCCCACTGTACCATCTTAGTAAATTTCAAATCTTTCAGAAAAAGAAAATAAAGCTGACACCACACCATCTGAGAATTTTTAGAAAGTTTTTATTAGAGGTATATTTTGGCCAAAATAAATAGTTACACTTTCTTCAGCAAAACATTAGGAAACAAGAATAGGAAAGAGGGGGAAAAATCATTTTTAATACTGAACTTTCAAGTGACTGGTGCTTCTTAATGACATTACGGTGTAAATAAATCAATTGTTTTAGGTTATCACTGGTCTAATTACTGCTCCGACTTCCATACATTCCTACAGTGCTCTGCATTTATGCTCTATGGGGTCCAACACATGTGGCTATTTGGCCGGCTGAGTGTGGTAAGTTGGCTTGAACAAAGTGGCTATTTGGCCAGTTCAGTGTGGCTAGTTCTCTATAGTGGCTACTGCTTCAGAACTGGTTGGACACCACAGCTCTGCACACACCCCTCATCAGCAGAGCTCTCAGGAGGAGCTGGCATGCAGAGTTCTCATCTATACGCTGCAAGCAGAACACTGGCACAGAAAACAAGTTTTATTTCTAAACCTGTACTTGGCATCTGCAGTTCCCTGCAGGAAAACCTGGGCTTATCAATTCAGGGCAAAGGTGCTAATGAATTAGAGATTTACTGTAGTGAAGCCATGGGGGTAGGGGGACAGATCAATCAGATTGCTGATTTCCCTCCCAGCTTTGAGGCATGTTGAAAAGCAACTAAGTGCAGCCACATTCAGCAAGGCAGTTTCCACAGGGAGAGTGGAATGGGAGTTGGTAGGGAGTATGATGGAGAGCATGACAAGGCAGGGACACAACGTAAAGAAGGCATGCTGTGGAGTTCAGCACAGTGCTGAACTGGCAGATGCATTATTAGGACCAAGCTCGTCCATTGTTTCCTTAAACACTTCTTAAATCAAATGCCAGCTCTTGGGACACTTGCAAAGCTCAGAATCTCTCTCACACTCAGCACTGCCACAGCATTGACCAGAGAGGGACTCCATGGAGCAGATAGCAAGAATGTTGTCCACACCCCCATGTGAACACACGAGTCCGTTCTTCCAAAGGAAGTGGTGCAAGTTTCATCATCACTAGAGTCATTTAAAACTGGACAGAATTGGGCAGACGATGGTAGTCTGGTAGCAGCCCTGCATGACTTGAGAGCACTTAATTTCTCTGGCTCCCTGATTTTCCAGCTGGCTAAATACTTTTGCAAAGAGTAACCCCCCAGGATCCCTGAATATCGGAGAGGAGTTGGGCAACCCCTCCCCTGAGAGAGCCATTTGCAATGATATTAGCAAACATGGAACAAACCCAGCCTCTGGTACATTCATCATGGCTTACAGTGCAAGTTCCAAAGAAATGCAGTGTTGTGCATAATACAGCACAGAATAATTTAGTCGTTGGTTATATACACAAGTTCATTATGTGCCTCATTACAAGCAACAAGTGGTATTTACAAAAAGTGTATTTATTTTCTTAGGCAACATGGGCTAAGGTGCTATATAAATAAGTTTGACATCTGTGGTACATGTGACTGGATGATTAGCAACATTACCGCAGACCATAAAAGGGAAGAGATGCAGATAGCAAAGAGCATATCTGAGACCTGATCAATTTGAATGAATTCAAATCAATGCAGCCTGATGCTGTTCAGCACAGGGAAGGAATTAGCTGGAAAAAAAAAATCTCAGAGCTAGTGGCAATATTATTTACAAACTCATGAATGACAAGAGATGTCCCAGGAGACTGGAGCAGAGCTAATGTAGTGCCCATCTTTTAAAAAGGAGGAAAAAGAGGAGATAGAGAACCATAGCCCAGTCAGCTTAACTTTGGTATCTGGGAAATTACCAGAGCAGTGTATAAAATATTCCATTTGCAAATACCTGAAGGGGAAATCATTAGCAGCCAACTTGGATATAGCAAGGGAAAAAAAATCGTGTCAAACCAGCCTGATTTCCTTTGACAGTGTAACTGGTTTGGTGGATGGGGAGAATACCTAAACTTCAACGAGGATTTACACAGCCCTGCATGGCATTCTGGTAATTAAGCTGGAGAAATTCAGGCTCAGTGGAACTGCTATTAAATGGATAAATGATAGATTGAACAACTGCAAGCAAAGAATAATATTAATGGAATGATGTATGACAAAACAAGAGGAGGGTTGCCAACACTTTGGAGGCTAGAGCTGAAATTCAGAGACATTTTAATAAACTGGAGATCAGGGGGATGGACAACAAAATGAAATTCAACAGAGATAAATGTAAAGTGCTATGCTTAGGGAAGAAAAAACAGATGCATGAATAAAGAATGGTGGGAAACTGGTTTAGCAGAGGCCCGGCTGAAAAGGACTGGGAAGTTCTGATGGATCAGAACCTCAACCTGACTCAATGCAATGCTACTGCAAAGAAAATAAGCAAATGTAATTTTAGGTTACATTAACAAAGGCACAGCATGCAAGTCATGGGAGTGAAATTAGCACTCTGCTCAGTATTGGGTAGGCCCAATATTCCTGCTAACTTTTTCTATCCCTGTGTGAAATAAATTTTGATATACGCTTTGAGGCATGTGGTACCACCAGTAGGAACACATGTGCCAGCTATAGGCACTCTGCTTGGGCAGCTGTCCAAGCACTCAGCTTACAGGGAAGGCTGGTTAGGCCTCAGCTGGAGTATATGTCCAATATTGGTCACAAATGTACCTAAGGGATGTAGAGAAAATGGAAAGGATCCAGAGGTGAACAACAAAGATGATCAGAGGGATGGAATTCAAGCTACATGAGCAAAGGCTAAAGGAACTGGGTAGGCTTAGAAGATTTATGGGAGACCCAACAGTCCTCAAATACTTAACTTTTCTCCATCCTTTATGAAAGCCTCTCTCTCTTGACAAAGAGGGCAGGACAAGAGGCAACTGGCTTAAAATACAGCACAGCAAGTTTCAATTAAATCTCAGGAAAAACTTCCTAATTGTAAGAGCAGGAGGACAACAGACCAGACAGCCTAGGGAGATTGTGGAAGATCCTTTACTGAAGGTTCCCAAAAGGAGGCTGGAGAGGGATGGCTTGGACACAATACAAATCCTGGAGCTTGGAAGGGGGTTAGACTAGATGACCTTTGTGGTCCCTTCTAGCTCTATGAGTCTAACATCTCAGGAAGGCTGTGGAAGCCTATTCCAGAGCTTACCTACCCCCTTACAGTTATTAGGAAATATTTTCTAATATCTAACCTACATCTCCCTTGCTGCAGGTTAAGGCTACAATTCTTGTCTGACCTTGAGTGCACATAGAGAACAACTGATCATGGTGCTCTTTCAAACAGCCCTTAACATATTGAAAGACTTATCAGGTCTCATCTTAGTATCCTTTTTTCATGACTCAGCATATCCAGTTTTTTTTTTTTAAACCTTTCTTGATAATGAAAGGTTTAGAGAAAAATCTGACTTTCTTGCCCTCAGATTCTCTCCAAACATCCAATCTTTCTTTATAGATGTAGCACCCAGACCTGGACACACTACTCCAGATGAGATCTTATAAATGCTGAGTAGAGCAGGACAATTACCTCCAGTGTCTTTCAGACACAGGACATCCTGTTTATACACCCCAGAATGCTATTCGCCTCTCACAGCTGCGTCAAAATCACTGACTCACTCAATTTGTGATTCCCCTGTAATGGCCACTGCTCTTGTTCAGTTGTACCTTGGTTCAGAGTTAGAACTCTGAAGAGGCCTCAGAGGATAGTTAATCTTCCACAAGCGAGAATTTTTAAGTCCTGAAATTCCTTTTGGTACTACGACATAAGTAGCGCTGGGCATTTCTCTTTGAAAGACAGACAGTTCTTGGCTAGTGCTGAACCCCTTTGGGAGTCATGCAGCAGCCACTGCATCACATGAATTACGTATGAGCTTCCAGGCATCAGTCTGTCCACTGCAGGTGCCACACTGACTCCCAGCAGGGAAGTGGTTAACACTCAGTGGTATAACACCACATGCCTTCATGATGCTAACTTGTGGGAAAAGAGGAGTTTCCACCCAGGAGAATTAGCTCGTCCAGGATTTTAAAAAGATGAATCTTGGCTCCTTATTGCACAGGGTGAAAGGCAAGAAATTCCTTTTCTAGCTCCTGGATTCACTCCTGGGAAGGATGGAATGATAACCAGAGTCAGAAAGAAGGTTAATGAAGTTGCAAATTCAGGCCTTTAATTAACCCTAGGAGTTAAGTATTTTGAAATGCACGGACAGCAGCCAGCCAGCCTGAGATCGCCCCACAGCTCAGCCCATCCTGGGACCAAGAGCAAATCTGTGCATCTCAAGCCTCTGGACCCAGGTGAGGGGAGAGCTGCTGGGAGCCCGGCAGCATGACTGCATCGTTACTAGCAAGGCCTCGTTAGATAGATTCCACACTGAGTTACTCTGCCAGAAATGTCATTTAATGGTAGTGGTTTACAAACGTGCGCACTCACTCACTCACTCACTCACTCTATGGCCTTGCCAGGACAGGCAGAAGGGATAAGAGGAAAGAGACTACACCGTGCCTTCTGCACACATATTCACACAAACAAAACACACGGTTCCCATATACTTCCTTCTCACATACAGTTCCCCATCTCCATGCCTTGCCCCTTAAAGGATTTTGCTTTTGGAGCAGGCCTCCCTCAGCCCTTGCTCCCCAAATAATTTCAAGTGGTTGGGGTCTTTTTGTTTTTGAGTGGGGAGGAGGGCACAAACTTGGCAAGTACAACAACAGTTGTCCATAAGCAAAACAAGGCAAGAACTTTTTGCAAGCCAAATCTCATGGAGTTTGTGACTATGCAACCTCATATTCTGGGGAGCTAAGATTATTCTGGTGCCACGTGTCTTTTGTGATTCATAACCAATGCACCCGAACTTGTGTCAACAGCCTGACAGCAGGCCATTGCCACCAACAGGGCTTACATACAATTCAACAGCCCCATCTTCCCCACTTTTAAATCTGTGTTTCCTCTGAGTCTCTCACACGCTGGCTCATGGCTCCTCTATTCCAAATTGCATTATATGAAATGTGTTAATGAAGGCTAGACTGGACTATTGCAAAGACAACAGTCATCAACTAAGTTGGCACTTGCACTATGTATGCAATGTCACTTGATGGCTGGCAAGGAGACATTTTCTAAATCACACAATCTTGTGGAAACAGGACAACCACCGCCGATAGCAGCCACAAAATGAATGCCATGGTTCCCTGGTGAGCTCCTGGCTGTTTTCTGCTAAAAGCTGCATGTCATTATAGGCAAGATAGCAACGCTCCTCCTTTTTGTGGAGTCAGACAGGGTGTCTCACCCCCATCAAGTGGGTCACACAGGCCGTTATTACTAACAAGCAGCCTGCAACCAACCTTCCGGAAGCTTCTCATCAGGTCCAGGACACGTGTGTTCTGCTGGACTTTCTATTTTCTCTCCCTCCAAGCTAATTTATCGAGTGCCAATCACCAGAGTTCGTGGGTGCATCTTCTCTTCTTTACAGAGTGGCATTTGAGAACCTTTTGCAAGTCACTAGTCTATATATGCACATTATATAGGTGAACTTTAGGCAGCTCTCCCCTCCCACCCCCGGAAAGAACACATACACATTTGCTTTGGCCTACTGCCGATTGTTTGTGCTAGCAGGAGGTAGGAAGAAGCCCCACATAGCCAGATGCATTACAAGGAGAGGGACCTTGAAGATGGTTTTGTGTCACAGACATAGTCACAGTGCTAGGATTTTGGCTTTTTCAGTACATCCCATCTTCACTGGAAGCCCCGTAGTGAGAAATGAGGCAAAGAACAAGTGGGCCTAGACACCTGTCCTCTCACAGAGAAGGTGCCAAAGAAACAGCTGTGCTAGAAGCCTATGTGCAATGGAATGCTACTGGGTTACGTTGGGACACTAGATGTCAAGGCAGCAGCCTTCCCAACAATGGTAATGACACACCGGGCAGAGCTCAGCTCTGGTAGAATCCAACTGATTCATGTGTTAGGTGACAAAGACAGGGGCCTGCATGCAATTTGGCACTTCTAGCTTCATTCTCCCCCCTCCCCGCGACTTCATTTCTCTTGCTCACTATGCTGTCATCTTTGAGGCAACACCATCTTTGGCAGCAACAGGAAACACACAGCTCCCACTGGGGAAACGGGCCTGGCTGCCTCTCTAGGACCGGCAATCTACACCATCCAACGTCAGCTCCCTCACCAAGGCCTAAACTCACCACAACATACACAGGTGCAGCATCACAACGGAGTTCTATCCGTTTGCGCCAGCAGGGAATTAGCTTCAGGGCTTGCCAACTCCATGCTCCCTTGGAGTGGGAACCCATCCCTCCTACCCTCAGATGACCATCTCCTGGGCACCTGCTACGACATTCCTCCACAAGCCACTTGGACACGACATGCGCTGCTCAGTCTTCACCTTCTGCCTTCACCTTCCCTTAGCATTCCTTCCCCCATGGCAGCCTTCAGGCCAATCCAGAGAGGGGGAAGGAAGGCTAGTTCAATTCAGATGAATGGGAATCAGGCAGCCAAATCCCCCCAAAAAACACCCCTTCAGCTGAACCTCTCATGTCTTTTAAAAAAAAAAGATCTCAGCCAGTTTTGGCATTGCAGATCCCCACAGCACAAGGGAGACAAAGATCCCTATGGAAAAGATACAAGGCAGACCAAGAGGAGGAGATTTAGGAAGCTTAGTGCAACAATAGGGAGTATCCAGTTCTCTCCTGAACCTGCAGTCCCAATGGAATCTGTTAGCAGCAGCAGGGCCAAAGCTGGCTTTGAGTGGAGAGGGGAAGTGGGGACAGAGGTCCAAATTTGGCTCCAGTGAAGGAGCACTGAGAGGTGGGCTTGGGCCCATAGGACAGCTGCTTTGGCACGACAGGTTGCTTTACCTTTTGGTAGCACAAACAGCGAAGAGCCGCAGGACCCTGGATTGTTTAAACACACCCACACAAAGCTGCAAATGGGTAGAGCTAAACCCAGAGACCATTAAAACACGCTCCAAAGCATTGATCGCGTCCTGATTTAGTGACTCCAGGTCTGTCTCCTGGAGGATCCCAATGGGACAGTTACAGCACAGCCAGGGACTGCCACCTCCCCCAGGCTGGGTGTCACCACACGTCTAAGAGGTCATCTGCAGCAAACGTGTTCGTTTGAACGCTGCGCCACTGCTTTCTTCCCAGGGAAGCCGGCATGAACCAAGAGGTGGCTGGTTGCTGAGATGCGGGACTGATGCCATGCGCCCCTCCCGCTACGGCGGGGGGCTCAGAAGAGCGGCAGGCTCTCTTGGACACGGTCTGCTGGCGAGAGTCTCATCTGCAGCCCGTCCGAGGGGAAGATGGAGGCCTGCATGTCCACGTTGATGCAGAACAAGCCCAGCATGAGCTGGCGCTGATACTCCTCCCACTTGGTCTTAACGTCCGTCAGGGAGAGGTTGCTTCGCACCCACTGGGGCAGGGCCTCGCCGTAGGTAGAGGCCAAGGGGATTGGCAGACTCTGGGTCCTTCGGAGCTCAAAGTGGTAGTAAAGCCTGAAAGGCAACAAACGTGGGTTACCACTGAAATGTACGGAGGGGAGGAATGCTCAGGCAGGACTCTCCAGGGGGGCCAGGGCACAGGATAGGCAGTTGGGAGAACCAGGTTCTGTTCCCGGTTACTCTGCTGGCCTGCTTGGGTGACTGAGAAAAATCACTTCACCTCCGTACACCTCCCTTTCCACTCCTACCCTTCACCTATCTTGTGTGTTTAGACTGTAGACTCTACTGAGTAGAGTTGGACTCTTACTAGGTGAACACACAGCGTATAACATAGTGAACTCTGATCTCCTCTGGGGCCTCTAGGCATTTCCGTACAACAGCGACTGTTATTTAGATCAACACTTACATTTACAAGCATTATTTTCTCATCTCGGCCTTGGCCCATGTACTGGCCAGAGCCAAGACATAATGCAGACAAGCAACGCGGGAGCTCTCTCGGAGTATCTCAACACTGGAGCTGGTTGCGAATTTTTTGGGAAAAAAAAAGGTTTCTGTTGGAATGTCCGGATTTGTCAAAATGGAAACTTTCCATTAAAAACTTTTGTTAGGAGGGGTGCTAGGTCCAGGATAGGGGAAGAGCTGTATCCCAGAGAAACCAACAGCCTAGATGTTTAGGGAACTCTGCTGGGAGACCCACATTCAAGTCAATGCTCTGCCTGAGTGAGAGCCAAGACCTTGAACCTGGGTCTCCCATATCCAAGAGGAGGACCCTCGTCTACAGGCTGTCAGGGGAAGTAGGGGTCTCACAGACCTCGGTTTTGCTCCAGTGCAGAATGGGAACATGTTTTGAAGTCTCCATTGTTTTCATGGAACAACACACCCACCCACCCACCCACCCACCCACACCCAGCTGTACTCCATACTGGCCTGGCTATCCTAGCACTGTCCCATTCTACTCCAGCCATAGGCCTCTAAGCAAAATCTACCCTGAAGCTAAGTTATCTTCAGAGGTAACTTTGAGGCTCCAGTCTCCTCATACTAATAACCACCATGCAGACGGGTGTCACTGCGTTTTCTATGAAATGGAGCTGGGTGGACAAGCGAGCACGGCTTTTATGCTGTGGTACGGTATTGGCCAGGGAGGGGAGGAAGGGAATGTTACCCCAGGACTAAGCAACTCAGACGAGTCTCTCGATTTGCTCCGAGAGGAAGATGAAATGGACGTGTCCCTGCCCTCCCACAGGCCATACCCACCCCTAGATGGCTGCAGAGGGAGGGCTGTGAAGAAAGCAGGAGAACCTGGCTGAGAGATGGCTTCCCAGTTTCTTCTTGGCTTCCCTCATGAGATAGTTGCATACTTTACTCGTCTGTTCCTTCATCCACCTAATGTCCTCGGGGACATCCGGCAGCCATTCCAGCAACCTGAGCAGGAGAGAAGGGACAGACAGAGAACAGTTAGTTGAACAGCCACGGCTAGATCTTCAGACATGAGAGATGGTAAACATCAAGCAGACTCTCTAGGATCCTAGCCCAGCTGGGCCAAAGCATGTTCTCCAGAGCTTCATACGCAACAGCTGGCAGATCTTTTAGGATGCCCTCCCATGCAAATTTAGTTCACAAAACCCAAGAAGGAGGTAACCAACTGGAGGTGGCCTTTCATCTGTTCAATATTTTATTTACATTCAAGCTCTGTGTTCCCTACTTTGTAAGCCCTCTGAAATTTTGGAAAGTGGTTTTCCTCCGCCGCTGTTCCTTCTTCCAGCAAGGAAAAGTTTTCATACAGTAAGTCAGTACTTTACCAATATCAACAAATCAATACTTGTTGCTCTCCCCTTCATGCTTGGGCAGCAACATAGGGTCAAAATTGAGATCCCAAATCCTTCTTCTCCCTTCCCTGATCTGACCAAAGCAGCATGTTAAGCCTTCTAGGACTCATCCCACCCCCACATTAACCATCAGGAGGCATGCAACTATGCTAATGCCACTCCTCTCTACTCTAGCTTCGCTCTAACATTTAAAAAGCTTCATTAGCTGTTCTGGGGAAGTTTACTACAACACAACAGGTCAGGCAGATGTCCCAACACAGTGACCAATAGGAATTGACATTGTCTCTCTAGGGCAGCAGTTGTACACAGGAGAGATGGAATGGAACCCAGCCCTGCCCTATAGCTTGCCTTACTGGCTATGTTGCAGCCTATGCAGTGCCACCACGAGAAGGGATGGGAGGTTTACCTGACTGTGAAGGAGACAGCCGATTCCACAGGCAGCGTGTAGGGGATCATCATGGCAGAGGCCAAGCGCACAGGCAACAAGTTGGTGATGCCAACTAACAGGCCTCTTCTCTCAGTGCACGCTTCCAAAAGGGCTGAGGGAGGAGAACACCATGGGTCAGTTCAGCCCCCCGGCACATGCAGCGGGACTGTCCACCAGCCCTTTCCCAGGGACACGAGAGCTTCAAAATTATCCCACCTAGAGAAAGTCTCACTCAGAGCACCCGGCTTCCCAAATGAGGACGCAAGGAATTCGAGTGTTTGGTTTCAGCTGGCTCATGAGAAGCAAATCCACATCCCCACTTCTCTCCCTCCCACAAAGGAGAGGTGAGCAAGTTCCCATTCCAGCTCTCTTAGGCCACACTTATCCTACAGGGACGACACCAGTAAGGCTATGTAGTGCAGAAGCAAGCTACAGAAGGGGTTTTCCCTCAATGCAGGACCAACAGCTCCCTGAGCGACAGTAGCTAGGTCACTGGAAGTGTTCCTCCATCAACCTAGCTGTGTCTACACTGGGGGTTAGGTTGACAGTAACAGGGCTCAAGTTGTCATAACCTTAAGGGCTAGAACTGTGTCAACCTACATTTTTTGAGTGTAAACCAAGACACAGTCTCTATGGCCCCCCAAGATGATGTGCAAGCATAACTCACTAGTCGAAGTGTATTACATGTGTACCCCCACATTTCCCCAGTGCTTGGTCTATATAGAACATGAGTAGAGTCCTCAGTTACAGCCCTCAACTACAGAGCCTGGCTTTTGAGCTGAAGGTCACCTTGAGATACCCGGTTTTATCTCAGGAGGGCTCCAGCTCGATACCTGGTATGTTAGTGAACATGGCAGTCAGCTGTCAACTCCCACATCCCAACAAACCAGTGAGCTATGCAGGGGAGGAGGGGGCGTGTTTCACTGGAGCAGCTAGAAGTTTGAACTGTGCTCCTAGAGAGCATACCTTGGTTTAGTCTGGGTGGCAAGTGTTCAAAGATGTGGTCTTCGACAGCAGCCAGGGCAGCATTCTCCCTCAGCTGGTCCTCAGCACTTTTCTCCTCTTCTTCTGGGTCCCTCGCCCCTGAGGAGTTCTCAATGGCCAGAAGAGGGCGTGAGGGCTCTGGGCGGTGAAGGAGACCTGGAGAGAAAGTTGGGTGTGGGTGGGATTGTGAGGATTTAGCCAGTCTTTTGCTTGGTTTAGAGTGTTCGGTTTCATCTGATGCCACTGAGGGGAAGGGTGGGGGGGGGCGAAGAAATTAACATTACAGCTGTGAGACGGGCCTTCTGTTGCTAACAGCAGGCAGCCATTTTGTTACAATGTGTTACGATGCATAGCAAGGTATATTGAATACCTGCTCACCTAGGTTGCAACATGATGCAGGAGGCAGAAAGCCTCTCACAGCCAGATAAGTGAATGGCTCCCCAGACGCTCTGGAAGTACCGTGGGCTATTGCTTCCATAATGGTTTTGCTGCCATATACTCAGACCGTAGGCAGAGTCCTAACCCATATGGATGTATCAGATCTGTGCATAATCCAGACCACTCCAATTTACTATATGGCACAGCTGCATCCCACCAGGCACGGCCATACCTGCTTGTAACTTCACCATCAGCAAGACTCTGCGTACGTAAGTGTCATTTGCACTAGTATAACTACACTTACCTGGTGCCGCCCCTCCCCCCCCAACCGCTTATCCCATCTATTAACATAACAAAGGCACTGTATTCATGTCCTTATTGCACACAGGGGCACAGTGTGCAGGACAAAAAGAATGAGTAAGCTTGATCTGCTACAGGCTGGCCGCAAGGTGGCACCGCAGACACATGCAACAAACCATGGAAACAAGGTTAACCAGGGATGGTAGTAAAGCCACAAGCAGGAACATGTCTCAGCGCAAGGCATAGAATACTAGAGCTCTGTCCCTTGAAGGGTGGAGACACTTGCATAATTCCGTTGCTTTCAGGCTTTGAAGCAGAGGTCAAATTTACACCTGGTGCAATCCCAACTTCAAGGAAGTTACACCAGGAATCAGCTTGGCCCGGAGTTTTCCTGCACACCCCTCTCCGCCAGCAACATACAGTTAAGCCCTACTGACTAGCACAGAAGGGGTTAAATGAGTCAGACAGTGGCCCTTTAACATAAGCAAACGCAGGCACGTAAGGAGGTAGCCGGGAGCCTTACCATTCTTTTTCAGGAAGTGCAGCGCATCCCGGTAGCCCTGTTTGCACATGTCCCGGAGCACCTGCATAGACACACAGAATGGGTCATTGGGGAACTGAAGACCAAGGTGTTTGGCTGGGTGGAGTACAGTGCAGCTTTCAACCCTGGGCTTGGGTTTCTGGAGGAGAGAGTTCTTGTATTTCCTCTATCTTGCCCTTCCCACTCAGAACGTTTGTTGCTCATTCCTCTCTCCCACCTCACACAAAGTTAATTCATCCCCTCAATCAGCTCCCCACCCTGGCAGTCCAGCAGCAAAGGAGAAGCAGAAACAGGCTTGTGGGCAAGCAGACACCCTGCACAAGGAGGCAGGACTTCCACGGCCATTTGCACATCAAGAGCCAGCTCTCTGTGATTGAAATCACAGGGGGCGTGCCACGTGGATATACCACCCTAACAGCAGCTCTTGGCCTCCCTGTGAGCTGCTTTGATGGGCAGGTAAGTCATGGAATCCTTCAGTAAGGAAAGCCAGAATACCAGTCCTTAGAAAGGGGGCGAGTGAGAAAAACAGCTCATATTAACCCAGCTCTCCAGGGCGATTTTTAACAAACAAGCACACTCAAAATGTCATTGCTTATCAACAGGCTGGCTGGCAGTCCCTGCTACCTCACCAATGGCAAGATGATGCTTAATCCCATTGCCTGGCTTTTAAAATGCAGGGGCAGAGTGTTCCTGAGTGAGGGAGCATCTCTGTAAAGGCATGGCACTTGCTTTTTGCATGGGGCCAGACGTCACACACAGGAGGATATTTTCAGGAACTCAATCAACGCCTGGGATTCAGGATTTCCCAGAGGAAAGGACACAAGCGCAGCTTGTTTCCATGGCAACAGATGAACTCCAGGGGGTCTAATCCTCAATGTAAGCCAAGGAGCCAGAGCCCCACCCACCAAGCTGCTGCACTGCATCAGCCTCACCTGAGGCTCTGGCGGGAACAGGGCTTTCGAGAGGCGGTAGAGGTTGCGAAGGTTGAACTGGATGCTGGTGTTGGTGACTCTCAGCTCATGAATGTTTGTGGAGCTGTCCCGGGGGCAGATGTCACTCTCGCCTGAGAACGGAGACACCGTGATGGTGTTCTTCAGCTCATACTGGGGCAAATTGTCCGAAATCCCTCCGTCAACGTACCTCTGGGGGAGAGGAGGGGGGAGAGAGAAGGAGATAAATGACTAGGTAGGTTTTTTTTTCCCTCCCCCTCCATAAGCCAGTTTCTAGCAACATTCTGCATCCCCACTGCATGCACTTACAAGCCAGGAGAGTACTACAAACAGGAGTTTTCATTAACAAGCGACTGGACTGACAACCCGTCTAGGATGTTTGTGGCTTTTTCTACCTGGCTTTCTGTGCCTATTCACTGAGTGAAACTTTAGTTTCAGGAATGTTTTTGTTTCAAGAGGAAAATAGTCACCCCTGGGAATATGGATTCACAAGTATTTGCACCAGAAACCAAAATCAGCAGTTGGTGGTGGTGTAGGAGCCAACCAATCAAGCAGGAGAAGTGATATGGTGACCATTTAGTGACCAATCACAGGGCAGGTGACACTAACCTAAGCTAGTCACAGTGACTAATTTGCAAAGAAGTCTGTACTCTGAGCTTTCCTATAATAAACCATGCAGCTAATTGCTTTAGAACCAGCAAGTTAGTAAATACAGAAACCTGTGGGTGGATACTTTGGCGAGAAAAAAAAGTTAAGGCGTAGACTTTTAGGCCCATTTGTCTGTCCATCTGTAAAAATTGCATATACATTTAAAAGAACCCATGGGCTGGTTAGATTTCACTAGGAGTGGAATAGGAGAGGTCTCTACTTTTGAACACAATAACCATGCTCTTTCAATAGCTCCATGTGCATTGTTACTGCTGATTATCCTTGGTGAAGAGACAGCGTGGGCACATTCAGATCTAGCTCACGAGGTCAATTCAAAGCAAACACGACTCCTACCCAGGGCCTTTGCAATGGCAGCAAGCAGTACCCAGATGGCAGCAAGCTGTACCCAGATGCTAATGGGCAGGGCTGAGCAAGATGCAGCCCATGGACTGCATCCAGCTGCTTTCTATTTATACTCTTCTGCCCATGCCACTGCATTTCCCCAACAGTGTCTCAGGATCCTATTTAAATGGCTCATGACTCCCAATCACAGGGCTACCCTGGCAGGGGCTGGAGCAATAAGCCCTTTAAATTGCTGTAATAACCCCAGGTGGCTGCCAGGCAACATGATAGTGGCTGAAGCAAGCCCTTTGCTGTGTATTTAATTCAAAGCCTCCAGCCCCAGACAACTCTGGGGGAAGCTAGTCCCCAGGCCCACTCCTTCCTCCCCCAAGTCCCGACCCTTCTCGGGGTAGATCCGGCCCCTTGTACCAAAATTCATTAAGTGGCCCCTTTGTGATAATTATTTCCCACCTCTGCTAAAGGGTTGTGTTACTAGCTGTGCTGCCAGAGCAAGGAGATAAGAGAGGCTCCCACAGAGCAATGGAGCAGGAACTTGGTAGCCTCTGGGATAAGGCTCCCATTGACTTGCAGAGAACAGCCAGATCAGCCCCAAAGTAAGAGACCCATCCGTGTGGGGAGGTGGCCAACCAAAAGGAATACCTGGATGAAAAGTAACTGGCCAGAGGAGAGCCCAAGCAAGAGAAAGGAGATGCTGGCAGGACGAGGGAAAGGCACACTCCATTGAGCGGCCCAGCAAAAGGCCTGCAAGGCTGAGGACAGACTAGCATTATAGCAATAACAACACAGCAAGACCTTTTGGAAGAGTCAGCCCAGCCCAGCCACACGAAGGGACACAGACAGGCCCATAACAAGAGTGGATCTTTCGCTGGGCAATGTTGGGGAGGGTTGGATGTAACTTGGGAGGGGAGGCTGGAGAGACGGTTTCACATTTTGTTCTCTCTAGCTGGAAGGGAGACAAGCAGCTTATCTCTGAATGGCTCCATCAGTCCTCTCTCCCCCCACCGCTGTCACAGTTATTAATGTCCTTATGCAACAAGCCAGACAAAATTCCTCGTCCGCAGATGGCCTTTCGCCTACTTCCACTGACGAAGGCGCAGCACCCGCTGGATGTCTCCAGCAAGCTCCACAGGCCCATGCAAACAAGTTCACCTGCATGGTTCCTGCTCCTGCCTGGAACAAGTGCTTTTCCCCCCCACCAGGTGTTCTCATGGCGTGTCTCACTGGGCGGCACAGCTCACTCCTCTGAGACAGCCCAGGGTTTTGATTTCCCCCAGGTTTTTATTAGGTTTGCAAGGGTTGGGTAATTCTGATTCAAAGGGCCTAAAAATAAGAGCTGGAGAGGCTGGAATTCCCCACTGTTTTTGCAGGCATCACGCACAACGGTTGCTACTGCACCACACTTAGCTAGTGGGCAGGCTGGGGTTTACTGCACAGACGCTGGCATCTCCACACACCAGCTACATGGAACTCAGTACCCAGGCAGGAGTCAGCAATAGCAAAGGTAGGAAGGAAATAAGAGAAACAAAACTTGGGGAAAAATCACAGCCTGGGCGCTACGTGGGCATTAGTGAACCCAGCCTGAATAAATTGTTATGGCCAGCGCTGCATCTCCACCTAGTATTTCACAAACTGTCCTCCTTTAGCCACAGGCTGAAGACAGCTGTGGTTGTTGGACACCATTCCCTTCAAAGGAGCTACTGCCAGGGTAAGGGTCACATTGTACCAGCAGATACACCTCGCCCACAACTGGAGGGGGAAGCGAGGGGAAGGCGGCAGGAGAGTAGCTAGAGAACCCTGCTTTACAATAGGAGGGTTTTTTGTTCTATGTTTGTACAGGGTCTAGCGCAGTCAGGCACTGGGCCAGGACTACAGTTCCTAGGCACTAGGGCCCCAGCATGTCTTAATCCAGGCCTGTCCCTTGCCCTGCAGAGGGCACAGCGCCCCAGAATGCGCAGAGCTGCGCTCCAATGGCGAATCAAACGGGGCCAGTGCTCTGGCTCCCTCATCGGTGGGCCTGCAGCTAGCCACCTGCTGCTGAGTGTTCCTAGTTCAGGCTCCCCTGCAGTGGTATTTGCCATAGTGCCAATACTACTGCTGTGCAAACCCAGCCTATTATAACCTAGGCTCTGAGTCCTTGAGTGACCCCCTCCCTGCACAGCAGGTACAGCACCACCAGGCACGTTTGTTCTCAGGAGCAGCCAGGATCAGGGCAGGAATCTCAGTTAAGGGCCTTTTTTTGTGGAGAAGGCACCACCTCTAGCTCCGGTCCCTGGCGCCTCACAAGCACCACACCTTTCAGATGGCCAACTGGTTTTCTGTATGTGCACCTAAAGGACTTGCAGAGGTGTAACTTTATCGGGGCAATCGGTGGGGTGGAGGGAATGAGGGCATTTGAACAGACTCCCTTGCTGGGCACTTGTGTGTGGCTAGCTCTGTTTCAGCAGAGGTCAGGGCGGAGCATAGCAACTCAAATTCCCAGAAAAAAGAATGGAAAGAAACAACTAGTCCCCTCTTCTCCATGCCTGCACTGTATCTGTATGTCTCACAAACAAGGGCAAGGTCAACAGACTCCTGCTGGGGGAGCAGCTGAGGCAGCAAGTGCTGCAACAAGGAGGTGGAAAGGAGTCCAGGAATGGTTACAGGCTGGGGGTCTCCTTAGTAGCAAAACCAGGACCTTTTACTGGGCAAGTCAGGGCTGAAAGCAACAAGGAACGGAACTAGTCTTGAGCCTGCTCAAAGAGAACACCCTAAAATATTTCACCTGGAGCTGTGGCCCTACCTTGTAAAGGGGAACAGAACCCTGTGCCAACTCCCATGAGTCCTGAGGCTCCAAGGCCATGGCTGTGTTCAGCATTACATGTGGGGGGAGTATCTAGTATGGTTACACATTTAGCAGTTTGAGAGAGGGTGGTTTACTAACCAAAAAAATATGGTGTCTGACCCCTTTGCAACAGTCACCTGGGCTTGAAGAGCTGTGCACTGAAGCAGAAAACTTGTCCTTCTAATGCATGGGTTCCCAAATAGGGGTGTGTCCCCCATGGGGGGAGGGAGAGTGAAGAAACTCCATGGGGGGCATGAGGTGACCTGCCCCTCCCCCTTGCAAGTTTTTTTCTTTTTTGCTAAAACAAGTTTTGCTTCTATTTTGGGGGGGAGGGGGCGTGAGGGTTTTCAAAAATCAAAATGGGGGGGGGGGGATGCTGAAAAGTTTGGGAACCACTGTTTCAATGTACACACACACACACACACACACACACACACACACACACACACCGGCTGCAGGGACAGCAGGATACTGATGCTGGCACGTGACCACAGCCGTGGAAGTGCATGTTTAGGACACTATTACATTATGACAAGAGGCAAGAGAACTGATTCATACAAACAAACATTCTAAGGAGCCTAACTGGCTCCGAACACTATGAAGAACTGATGGGAGATGGTGCAATGAGCAATATGGTATCTTTTGCCAGCTAGAGACTGGCCCCTTGCCATGTGTGTTTGTGTACCAAGTAGGTCAGTTCTCTAAGGTAAGGAAGAGAGGGTTGTGACATCTGATGACCAAATTTTTTTTTAAACGGGCATGGTCAGGATGGGTTGAGTGTATAAGCATCTGTAGCCTTCTTCTGGTATGCTCACACAGGGTCTTGGCCCAGGCAGCAAAGCAATGCTAGGCTAATAGGGACCATGGCCTGGCACCTTGGAATCCACTTGGTAAGCTAATTCCACTCATGCACAGTCAGTTAATTCTCCCATCCTCCACCTCCAAAAGAGCAGCAACAATCATGCAGGAAGGGTGAATGTGAATTTACTTCTTCCTCTTCTCCCCCCACATTAGCTTTCCACAAGGTCAGGCTCTCTATGTTCTTGAGAAATCAGCAAAACTAAGTAGGGAAGACACAAAACATCTTTAATTTCCAAGAACACAGCTTATCCAGAATACTGGGGGAAGGGGAAAGCCTTGAGTATTTCATGTGATTTTGGCTGACTGGTTTTAGCAGAGATGTGCCCCCTCAGAATAGCACATCAGTAAGTTCCCATGCAGTGCTGCATAAGACCTGGTGCCAGCCCTATCTGCCAATCACTCCCCCCTTGGGTCATCCCAGGCCCATGGGAGCACTTTGCTTTTCTAAAACTATAATAAAAACAGAATTATTGGACACAGGTGAATTGAGGTGGTAAATTATCAGTCAACTCATCCACTAGTCAATGTAATTTTCATTGACTAGTTGATAGGGTGCCTCTACCTTTGGAATGTAGCAAGAGCCAGCAGGACTCTTGCTACAATTTCAAAGGTGGAAGTGCCCTGGGGGAACACAGCTAGTGAGGAGGGCACTCAAGCAGCCCCCCACTGACCCCATGCTCCCTGTGGCACTTTGCTTTTGAAATGAAAACAAGCCCTGCTCTTGCTACATTTCAAAAGGTGGAAGTGATGCCAGTTCCCTGCTGTATTCCTACCCCTTCTCCCCACAGAGACAGTGCTGGGGGAAAACTGGGGGGGAGGAGGGAGAGTCACTTGTGAAGTCACTAGTCAACTATCCAATAAGCATTTGCTTGTCAACTAGTCACTTATATCCCTAAGATGAACAAAAAGCCTTTACATGGTCCCTCAACAAGACTCTTAAGCAAAGTAAGCCATCATGGGACAAGAGGGAAGGTCCTCTCATGGATTGATAACTGGTTAGAAGATAGGAAACAAGAAGCAGGAATAAATAGTTTTCAGAATGGAAAGAGGCAACTAGTGAGAATGAGCAAGACACTTGCACAGGTGAACAATATCCTTAGAGACAGGTTGGTGCTGTTGTTGCTGCTGAGATAGCGGTGGGTCTGAAGACAGGCAGGCAGTACAGTTTAAGATCGAGGAAGCCAGGTTTTCCTTTTTCAAAAGCCAGGGACTGTTTGTACCAAAGCTTGATAGGGCAGGGAGGAATCAGATTCTGGACTCCAGACTTAGCAGAGTTCCAGCCTTTACAGGGCAGAACACAACTGCTGATGTTTTTTGCTCTATCAGGGAAATAACGTTGAGTGTATCAGCAGATGTTCAGGAAGGCAACTGAACCTAACAAGACAAATCAAGGGTGACTTCAACTCCCTGCATCTGCATCTGAACCAGGACAAGTTTAAAGGGAACAAACATCTCCTTGGTGCTCCAAGCACCAATACTGGTTTTATAGTCCCCACTAGGAAAAGCTGGTTTGAATTCATCTCCAGTCCCATATGGAATTAATTCAGAACATAACTCATTGATGCTTGGAGCATGGGCACCAGGTTTGGATAATTTTTGGTGATGCCTAGAATGGGTCCAAGCTGAGGCTCTGTCCAAAGGAGGACCGGGACAGTGTCTCCACACCCCTTGCTTTGGAGGGCCCTACCCTTCAAGGAGGGATGTGGGGTCCTGGGGGCTAGGTAGGAGCCTGGAATAGGCAGCAGTGAGTGATCCTGCCCTAGCCTGCCCTGCCAGCTCCTGGCATTGCTTGGGACAGGAGAAAAGGGGGATGAAGCTAAAAGGAGGCACAGTGGGGCAAGGACTTGGGGAAGTAGTAGAGCAGAACTAGGTAGACTGGGGTAGGATCACTCACTGCTGCCTGTACCAGGGACAAGTCCTTCACCCCCTTCCACCAGCCCTCCAGACTGCACTGGATCCCATATCCCCTTAAATGTGGGGCCCAGGGCCACATTCCTGAATATTGGTGGAGTCTGGGCACCATGGGTCCATATAACTAGCTGCCCCTGCCCCTGAGTATTGGTGCTCACCTACAGCTGATAGGGGAGACATTCCTGGTGGAAGGGGAGACATTCCTGGTGGAAGGGCGATAAAGTCTAAATTGTCATGTCCAATACTAGAGGGCAGGTGAAGTGGATAGGAAGTGGTTGTATCCCTTTTAAAGGCTCGAGTCCATTAGCAGGCCTCCCTGGGTTTCAGAAACCACCAGCACATGACAGAGCAGCCGCATACAGGTCTAGCAAGATTTTATATGTTTAGCCCCACTGGCATCAGTGTAATTTCCATCAATATGGTTAGTTAGGTAGTGAGAAAAAAAAAGGAAGTTCAGTTTAAAAAAAAAGACTGAGTCAAACATCAAGTCATTAAAATCCTTAGACTCAGTTCAGAGGCTACTTACACATCCCACATCTGAGTCATGAGAGAAATGCAATTCACACACCCTGTATAGAGAAGGAAGCAGGAAGGCAACATAACCATTTTGGTTTGCTCATACTGTTTTGACTCAAGCCACTGAGAAATTAGATAGCTTCATGTGAGTTGGCTAATAACTGAGCCACGTGGATTTTCTCCTTGCGTGCCATGAGAAGTGAAGAGCAATAGACAGTGATACAAGAAACAAATGGGCTTCCTGTGACGGATGGAACCCCTGAATCACTAGAAGATCAGACAGTGCAAACTGATAAAGCAACAAGACACCAGCCACAGACCACTTACACACAAGAGCAGCTAACAATTACAGGATGGGTCTGTAGCGAGTTTTAAGAGATACCGTAAGTTGCCATGATGATTGTAGAATCTGGTCAAAGCCTGCAGGAAACCTCATCTGAAGTATTTTAAAAACAAAATGATCAGTACTAGAGAAACTGGATAGAGAAATGTCAGCCCAGTTTCATTGAGGAACATGATCATGTCTCCAATCTGATTAGATTTTGATGACTTGCTCAACTAATCCTACTATACATTTTTAGAAGTGTGTGTGTGTGTGTGTGTGTGTGTGTGTCTTTGTTCAAGGACTCTTCCTAAACCGTAAGAGCTAGGACCACCAAATTTGCTATGAAGCTTCTTCTTACTTTAATCAAGGTTAGGGTTTGGTTGTGCCAGGACAATGGCATGTGCTTGGAATTAGATTGTTTCTCATGACAAGGCACATGCGCGGGGCCTCTGGAAGTGTGGGGCCCGGGGCAGCCGCCCTGCTTGCCCTGCCGTAAATCCACTGCTGGTAGCCATGCCAAGAAGCCGGATGATCCTGGTGGGCAGCTCAACACAAGTCTTTGCTCAATGTGTAGTAGCTGTCAGAGCAGCCATGTGCATAAATTCAGTTAGAAGATAATGAAAATGTGAAGTCCTGATACAACATATGCGAGACCCTCACCTGGACGGTCATGCTTGGTTCCAGTCACCCTCTCCCAGGAAGAGATAGCAGAAAAAGGCATTTATGGAAGGGTGACAAATAGTTAAGAGCAGAAATTTTCAAGGGGATAGACTAAGATCGTCTATTTTTGAGACTTGACAGAAGAGGCAAAAAAAAACCTGTTTCACTGTCATTGGGAGCCCTATCGCTTTTGTATTATGGACAGAAAGGCAAAATATTTACATCTCGGATGATCCCCAGTGTGTAGTTCTGTTTCATGGTAGGGAGTTCTACCAGCTAACACCCACATTCTTCTCCCACAAGCCTAAGGGGCCCAGATTTTGTGTACTCTAGCCCTGCAGTGGGGCAGCAGGGGGGCTTTAGTGCCAGTGCAGAAAAGCTGGGGGCTGCATCAGACCCCTAAGCCTGATGTATCCCCATGCCACTACAGCAGGGGTGGGGAACTTGAGGGGAACCCAGGCCCACCCACTACTCTGGGTTTTAGCCCAGATTCCCTAAGGCAGTGGCAACTTCCTCCACTCCTAGTCTTGCAGCCTTTCCTTGGGCCACTTGCCCTAATGATTCCTCCCAGTACTGTCTCCCTAGTCCTTCCTGCTCCTCCACAGCACTCTTCCATAACCCCAGTTCTTCATTCTCTCAGAGCACCTCTTTACTTTCAGTCCTTGGCCTACTCCTCTGCCCTTCCTCAGGGAAACCTTTTAAACCAGCCCCAGCAGGCCTTAACTGGCTGCAAGCGCCCTGATTAGCCTGCTGCTTTCAGACAAGCACTTAATTGGCCCCAGCTGTGTGCCAGCTTGCCTTGACTACATGGCAGCAATGCGTGGCCAGTTCACTCAGACTAGGAAAACTATTTACCCAGTTTCCTGTTTGCCTTCCACCAAGCTACTAGAGCCAGCTGCCCTGGATCAGTCACATCCCCTAAACAGGTCACCCGGCAAACAAGATCTACTTGGCTGAAAGTTCCCCCACCCCAGTGAATGTGTTCAAGGGAAGTTGACACTTAGAAGTGTTCCGTCCATTTTTTCCAATGGGTGTTGGACAAAGCCATGTTGAGCAAGCTATAAATAAGTTTTTAATCCTCTAAGGAATGCAACCTTCAGGTTTCTGGGCAAGAGCCAGTCACTCATCAATGGGGTTAGGCAGCAGCAGCAGTTTTCATTATGGGTAAGGTAGCTGTTGATTTTAGGGTTACTAGCATCTTTCAAGTAAGTCAGACACCACTGGAGTCAGGATACTAGGCTAAATTAATCATGGCTTTTACCAACAACGCCACACAAGGGGAATGTTATGAGGTCTGCTTACCACTCCCTGCAGGCTTGGAGGAATCAGCCCACAGTACACAGGGATGAAGGTGCTGCAAACACAGGCCTGAAAGAGAGCACAAACCCAGCGTAAGACATAGGAAATATTTCCAGAACAAGCCAGGACATGGAGACTGGCTCAGTTTTTCGATCAGCTCAGCCACTTCTCTCCAGGTGAGCTGCTGAGAGTCAGCAGTCTGTTCAGAGACATTAATGTGTCCCAAGACTGTCAAAGACCAACCCCTCGGTAAGTCACCAGCAGAGGAGGGAGCCTGCAGATTATACCTGAGTGGTGGCATGGGGGTAATTTCCCACTCACCTGGATCAACTCTTCTTTGGAGTTGAACTCTGACAGTATCACATTCTCTCCATCCGAGACCCGTGTCAGCGAAATGCCCAGGCGTCCCCTCGCCACTTCGTGCCCATTGTCAGGCAGGGTCTTGTACAGGCAGGTGCGGATGATTTTCACCAAGTTGAAGGATGGATGTAGAGGGCCCAGGAACCTCTTCCGGGCTTCTTTAGAGACCTGAATGATATTAGCACCTGCCTCACCTACAATCAAAGACAGACAGCAAACAGTTTAAAGATGTGCTAGGAAACTGGTAGACTCAGAGCCAGGGAAAGGAAAAGTCTTACACAATGAGTGTGTGTCACAGGAGGTCAGAGACACAAATACTGGAGCCAGACAAATCAGTTATGTTATCAATGGTGATAAGACTCAGTTATTATGCAGCTTAAGTTAGAGGTGAAAAACTCCTTCAGAGTATCGTGTGATAGGCCTGGAAATCAGGAAGATTTCCATCTCTCCCCATCCCCATATACATGGTTGTTCCAGAACACTTAACGCTCCATCCCCTTTACATTAGGCTTGGTCAGCCCAAGATGCCAGCCCTGAAGACACACAGATATGTTCATTCCCCACACATACATCTCCTCAATTGGCCCAACTTTGCTATGCCTGCAAGAACATATGGGACAGCTGTAGAGTGAAATTTGTCATTTCAATCCTATGGGAAGTTGCATTTTCAGCATTTGCTTTCATTCCAAGTTATGATGCACCTTTTAAAATCTAGGATCTTTCTAATGGACTCAAGTTTTTTTGAAGTAGCATCAGAACATTGGTTTGACATGGCAGTCACTAAGAGCCAATGGTGCCTTCTAGAATTTGCAATTTTGGTGTCTCTTGTCCCTATTCTTCTCTATGGACTAGGATCCTTGGCTGGACCGTACCTCCCATGATGTACCATGCAACTTGGTCAGAGGGGAAGTTGCAGTGCATCATGAGAAACAGTTTGTTTCACTTCAGCTGACAGCTATTTCCATTCAGGTGAAATCAAGCTGAAACATGTTTCCCTCCTGACTGGGGGGAGGGGGAGAGAGTAGGGGGACCAAGAGGGGCAGGGGTTATAAGGTCAAACTGGACATTTTAAAATGTCAAGTTTAAGTTGGAAGCTGTTTTGGTTTTGCTGAACATGCATTTTCCTTTTAAAGGAAATAGTGGGTACAAGATTCCTGATCAACTCTCCTTACAGGCTATGGATGGCTTGCTACTGTAGGTGTTACAAGTAACACCCTGTCCCCCAACCTTGGTTTGGCAAGTCACCTCAGTTAATGGGAATGTGATGGGAAATGCTCTCAGACTGTGGGTGACTTCCCCTTATTTTTTTAAAAAGCCATTGTCACATTCACCTGGTTTATGTTATCCCCAGATGTCAGGCTAAGCCCCAAAGTTTGTCTAGACCCTCACCTTTCCAGTAGGAATCTCTTTACTAGCCAGATGTAGTTCTGGCAGGCCCCCTTCATTGAAGCCAGCTGATGAGCCACCCTGCTGATATCCATGGATAAAACTACAAAAAGGCAACTCCTTGCCACTTCACTGCAATCACAAGCTTGGAATACATTGCCCTGCCACTAATAAAAACAGCAAATGCTTTCCAACCGTTAATCGTCTCAACTCCGCCCACCAGCCACATCTCAGAAGGGGAAACTGAGGCAGGCAGTTTTGGCCACTTTCCAAAAAGGTCTTTTGGCTTGTGCCACTCACTCAGGTTCCCAACCAGGGACATGAGCATCTGCAGCTCCAGTGGAGCCTGGATGAATTGCAGGTACTAAGCACCTCTGCAGATCAGGCCTTATGAATCTCAGATCAGACACCTAAATGACTGAGGTACCTAAAATTGACAGTGCTTTTGGAAATGTTTGGGACCAAGTGACTGCCTAAGACCTCAAGGGGACGGGGGGCAGTGGAGTGCTTACAGCAAAGCTGGGATTCCTACATAGCAAGCACTTGCTCCCAGGACTCTGTCAGACCACCTATATTCACTTCACTCCCCCTCTCCAGATGGCTGGTGGTCAGCTGACCACTAAGTTCTAGTATTCAGCTAATCAACCCATATCACCAAGGCAGCTTTGTTGACCCAGACTGGATTTGAAAGAGGGGGCCTACAAAGGAAAGGTTCATATCCCAATTTGCAAGCCACTGCTCTAGCTGGCAGAATTACAAGTGAGGGGTGAAGACAGACTGCACTAGGAGGAAGGGTGCTGCGGTGTGAAACACTGCTGAGCCAGGCCAGGAGTCATTTCCCTCTGATTGTAAAGGGAAGAGGAATTGGGATTTAAAAAATCCTCTGACAACTCCAAACCTGGAAGGGAACATTTAGACAAGGTTCAGCTAGGAAAGGAGGATTTTATTTCCCCAG